TGTTCCACAGTGGCAATCTGTGACACAGAAGAGGTAAACGGGACTGGTTTTCAGCATTTTCGGACAGACTGTGGCAAGAATGAGTGAGTCTACATTCACTGACATCGTAATCTATTTGATATAGACACAATTCAGATTGCAAGTTTCAAGAGTTCTGCTGACTTTTTCTGGGCTGTGAGAAATATCTGCCGAAGGGAGCAAAGTGCATGATTGTGGAATGCATTTTTAGGTCTATTCCCCATCCTAAAACTCACAGGCTTCAGTGGTGTGAGCTAATGCATCGAGACTTAACGCCTCACTGGTCGATGAGTAGAGTTCTTTGTTATGCTCCTTATATCATAGCAGAAAACAGAAAGGAAAATCTCCGCTGCAACGGGTTTTGTCGTTTTTGTAATAGTTAAGACCAAGAGATGGTGCGGTAGGGAGGCCTGTGTTTGCTCTAGGGACTTCTGTAGTTCAACTTCCTCCGCTAACTTCATCAAGGCTGAGTCGCATAAGTGTGCTGGAACTCCTTGCATCATCTGGCGCAATATTCGCAGTGTAATAACCGAAGGAAAGACACGGAAGCCAGAGTGTATTTCATTAATCAAACCTCTTCTTACATATCTACAGTTTAAATTCGTTAACCAATCACTGGGCGTTTGATTTTGGTTTATGTCAAACAACATGAAGTACGATGTTCAAAAGTACATAGTATTTTGTTGTTAATGCAGTATATAACTGTGGGAAAGTGTTCTGCCTCTAAAATCAAACGGAATGTTCAAATAGACACATTGTATTCCGTTGCTATTGCCAAATAATAATAATGTATATTCTCATATAAACATATAAATTTACATGAAAATTGAACCGTGGGAACATGTGAGAATAATATTTCTGGGGTCTACATTGTCTGTGTCACATTACGGCAGTCACTATTGCTTAAGAATAGTGGTATCGTATTAGATAAGTTCATTCTTATATACGAAAGCACTGTACCGACTACCGAATAACTATGAGCTCAATTTATTTCTCATAATCATATTAATGTATTCTCGCGACTTCGTCATTCGCTTTAATGTATTAATTCACTACTCCCTGTTATTTACTGCCATTTTCAATAAATCAGGGGTAGTCATTGCGTCGGTTCGATCGCACGTGTTTGATGTTAATTTGAGGAAACATTCTGTGTTAACCTTCATCTCTCTAGGGGGAATCTTGTGAATACATCAGAGTCAATTTCAAAAAGTCTCATTTTAAATAAGATTTGGATTCTTGTTTGAGGAAATGGCGTATAGCCAACTGATGTTTTACATAATCGAACCAAGCAGGCTGCACCTGCGCACAGAGTACGGGAAGTTGAAGCTCCAACAGGTTCCACACAAAAGAGTGGAAAAACAACTATGGCCTACAGCTGAACAAACGGAAAATAATACAAACGACGAAGAGTAAGTACAGGGATAAATTGGGCTAAACTGTGATAAAAGACGCGTCACTTTGGCTCATCAGTCGTAAAGAGTACTGGTGTCAGCCAGGTCTCATGAACTGTAAATGTCCAGCTCTTTCTACGCTGGACCCCACACTGTCCGTCGAAGACTTTCAGAAACACTTTGTATTAACCAAAGCAAAAAACCAGAACACAGATCGGCGACTCAAGAATCCTTTATTCTTACGGCAATATGTAACCAACAATAAAGTTATTACACACAAGGTCTAAGAATAAATGTTGTACCAATAAATCACGATAGTACTTCTGATAGTTTTCTATCTTCCTTTGAACAGCGAATGATGAGACGATGGCTGCTGGATTGATGACTCCCACGAAAAATATGGAGGAGTTGGGTTTGAGCAAACAACCATGAATTGATCTCTCAATCTTCAACTACATTGACAACTGGTTTTGCCACTGATATGTCACCCTATACCAGTCTTGTTAAAAACGGGGTGCCTGATTACCCCAACTAATCAGTACACTACCTGAAACAGAAGTACTAGTGGCAAAGCTGGAAAAAAGGACTTGGTTGTTCGGAAATGAGTCATTTAGGGGAGGACTTTAGGACATGTCTGAAGTGCTGATTCTGAAGATGTGTGCGTTATCATCACTACTGGGAAGTACGAAAAGGGGTACTAGAATGGTCGGATGAGTACCGATCAACACCTTTCCTATCAGCAGGCTGGACGTCACCTCAGTTAATATTAAGTCAATTCAATATAATCTACTAAATTTAACCTTAGGTATATTTTGGTGTCGTGGGAGGTCGATTGTAATCTTATCCCATTGATGTGGAGCCATGTGCTTTTTGGGAGCTCTACCAAATTCTCGATACTACCGGTTGTCGCGATATAGCTGTGCGACAAGATGCAGTGAGGTCTTTCATATCCGTAAGTCAAGTTTTCAATTAGCAAATTAATTTAGAATATGAACATTTCGAGGTGAAATTTCACCACGGTTTCCCCTGAAGAAAAACAGTATTCAGATCACAGTATCTGACGTGTTTGAAAACGCAAACAGGAATCAAGAAAGCAAGGATAACTGCACAAATCCGAATATTACTGAATGATTGATAGCCCCAAACGGTTAATATCTCATTGGTCTAAGGATGGGGGAAACATTCAGTTTGGCCTTCACCAAACAGTTAAACAGCAGTGTGGGTATTATCGGAGCCGACCAAAATGGTGGCACCACTATTTCACTGGAAGAAGACCTAGTGGTAGTCCCCAAATAAACCCGTCGACAGCTCTAGGGAAGTTACACCGATTCACACCCAGGAAGTCCCCAGGTGGTGACGACATCAAGCCATCTGTCCTGAAACAGTGCACCAGAGCTCTCTACAGGCACTTATTGGCTTCTTTCAACACTTGATGGATTCGATGAGAGTACCGAGATAGTGGAAAAGAACCCTCATTTCTGCGGTCTTCAAGGGTATAGATGGACGAAATGCCACTAGATATAGACCAGAAACTCTACTCCCAGTTCTATCAAAAATATTGGAATATATTATTCTAAACACACTAGGGAGCACCTCGATGGGACTAATGGACTCCGTGAAGCAGATCCTCTGTAACTCATCTGCTATCATCTTTAGGACGAATGGACATCATGCTGGGATATGAATGTTTCGGTCCGTGTGGTCTTCCTAGACTTTGAGAAGCCATTTGACACGGTTCACCATGACCTTCTCTTACGCGAAATAGGTCAGGCAGGTATGGGTGGGCCACTTCTGTCATGGTTGGAGGACTACCTAGCTGAAACGAAATTCTGCGCTATGGTCAATAGAGTCCGATCATCTTGACACAGCTCGTCATCAGGAGTGTCGCAGTGTTCTATCCTAGAACCAGTGATGTTTTCGGTCTTTATCACTGACCTACCGTGCTGTCTAAGCCGACGAACTCTTTCTTACTCCGACGACGTAAAGATATGAAGAGCGATAAAGTATTCGGAAGACTCAGGCCCAAAAATTCTGGAAGACTGTGTGGTGGGCAGCGGTATGACTTTCAACCTGAAAAAGTGAAATTACGCGCCTGTAGGCTGCAGAATGCAAGGTACACACTGTGCAACGAAGGCTTGCCCTGTACAACGTCGGAGCGTGACTTAGGTCTAGCCCCAGCGGGAAAATTAAACACAATTGTGAACTACGCTGGGGATGTGACGGGGGGTATGCGGTCATAAATTTTACACGTAGACAGTTATGTGCACTCACTCCTGAGGTCTTTCTAAGGTTGTACAAAACATACATCAGACCGGACCTTGATATCATGATATCATTGCGCCCCCACTGCTCTCTTGGAAAGAGTCCAAAAATTGCCACAAAAGGAGTGGTTGGTCTCCGAAATAAACCGTATGATGAAAGTCTAAAGAAATTAGGCCTATTCAAACTCAGCTACGGTCGGCTTAGGGGGATTTGATTACTGCCTACAAGATAACAAATGACCATGATCACCCAAACAATGGTGTTCTGCCGTTGAGTAGGTATAGGCTTCCTCGTGGAAATCCCAGAAGGATAGCTCACTAGAGGTTAAGGACCCGAGTGCACCCCCACTTCGTTCCACCGTGGGTTTGCCGCCCCTGGAACTACTTGCCGGCAGGTGTAGCTACGGCACCATCTGTGGATGCCTTTAAGCGGAGGCTAGACAATCATACAGCGACACAAGGACTGCGTCCAAATGGCCTATCCACTTAAAATCCCATACACCATTCAGGGGCAGACAACTTGATTCCTCGTTTTACTTCTCTACATTTTCTCCCGTATTATTCCCCTGACAACTCCGACTGCTACACTTATTATTATAATTGCTGATATTATGCATGCATATAAACTTCAAATTTAATCAACCGACTGTTGTTACGTTTTCTTTATTTCCTTTTCTCTTTTAGTCTGAATAACCTACACTAATTATATCTATTGTTACTATCTCTTTTCTTTTGGCGACGATGCCGGAGGACTAACTGCTGAAAGGACCAACTCCATTCACAGTAGTAACAGTCTTAACACACCACATACTGCAAACAGCGTATAATTAATCCCAGTACTACTCCTTTGGAGTCAACCAAAGCTACGACAACCGAGTGGCGGGACGAGCTACGCAGAAGTTTACCGAAGATCAGGAACCTTTACCTCACAATCAAGAAACAACCCCGTAAAACCATATTGGAGTGCCGAAAGCCAATGAACTGTAATTTAGTGAGAATTAATAAACAGAAATCAACATTTTTGCTATTTAAGCGTCCTAATTCTGTTTGGGAAATTCTTGAATAACTCTTCGTCAGGCTTATTTTTATAATTTTTAATGAAGTAATGACCTTAGGTTAACTTACTTTTTATGTACCAGTTATTCAAGGCTGTATCTAGGTTCACGGTTTTGAACACTACTTGGGGATGGTGAAACGTTATCTAAGCCCTTGTTTACTTCTGATTAGTATTCACCACAAAATAAGCACTTATGAATGAGATATATTGTCAGAATTTGATTGCATTTCTTAGAACAATATTTCATTCTTGAAGCATAGGTGAATTACCCATATGGCCTGGCCAGGTTTCTTATCTTTTTTATTTTCGCTTCTAAACTGTGAGTAAAACTTGTAATAACATTGTTCGTTTAGCATTGTTGTTCCAAAATGATCCATTCTTGGGACAAACTGGCGAGCCACTCACTGTAATAAGAACAACACCAGCGCCCAACCTCACGCAAGGAGTACTTGTTGATTGGTCTCGACCACCTGGTACTATTCTAACAGACTGCATTGCTATACGTTCTCAAATTATAGTTAATTTAACAGATGAGGTAAGTCTGTTTTGTTTATAAGTGCTAACTGTATATGTAAAATACAAAATGTTCGAGAGTTATATCTAACACTTGAATGTAGCCATTGATTTCAAAACAGGAGGTCATAATTGGGCATTCGTGACTTTAAAACGAATTCAACATTCAGCAGTTTCAGGTTAGCATTAACTTTGGGTACATTGCAGACACTTTAGGTCAGAATTCGGGCTCACTGCAGGCACTTTGGGGCATACTGCAGACAACTGTCTCACCTTCTGCAATCCTCTCGTAGTTTTTGCCCTGAAATGTCTGCGATGGACCCGAAAATAATGCTAGCTGAACTTTTTTGTCCTCTTAGTGCATACAGCGAGTGGTTTTATTAATATACAGTGATTATTTCTAGCAGTTATCAGTTTCACGAAAGAAATTATATATTCTCCATAACGTGGTATTGCTTTCGTTTAATTAGTGGATATTCAAGAGAAATGAAAAATTCACAGGAACAGAATCCAGTGTTACAATGCTGTATATTGTGTTCCATTTGCCAAAAGGTATTCATTTATGACAACTTTATATTATAGTATCTGAGGTGATTTCACGGAAGCTGTCTTATATTGTGATATTGTGCTCAAATTGTGCTTAAGAATACCCCCATTCATTCGCTAAATCTCCGTAGTTTTATCGACCATGGTGCATCATTACATTTTTGCTCTAATTGATATCCAATTTCCGGTGGTTTGCCAATTCTGTCAATTCATCATATATTTGTATGAGTGGCATGAAATTCAATTTTTTAATTACCATGGTTGTTCAAAGGGCCTGAAAGAGGAAAACTTCAGTATAACACCCTACCGGATAAAACCAGATTCGCAGTATAAAATATCACTTTTTAATAGGTTCTCATCATCTGCAGCTGAAAACATATAATTGATGGCAACTTAAACCAAAAGTTATAACGCTTATATTTCGGATGCCTTGATTTTATTATGTTTCTTTTACTGGTATTTAGACAATGAAGTGTGTTAATTCCACTTCTTTGGTTTTCAGCTGATGAGAACCTGTGTGAAAGAATGATATCACCTAACACTGTAAATCTGGCCTTACTTTCTTTACTGAAACTTCTCAAGGGAACCAAGTGTATGAAACCTTACTGGGACTTAATTGAGGGATAGGTTAATGATTACTTGGTAATAAATTCACTATAAGGTGACTACCGAAAACTTTTGAATTCCAAATGTTTCATTGAATTAAAAGCTTCATTTTGTGTACTGCTGCGGTTGTTGATAAAATTTGTTGTATTGCACCTTCCTTTGGTAATCCTGTCATGTTGTCATTGATACTCATATTTGTAAATTTTCACACATTTGTACTCTCATTTTGACATTTTGTAAGAACTGTGATAAGATTGTACAGTGTAATTTTGTCATATAGACTTTGGTACACCTGTGTTGAAACTATTCTTGGTCACTATTGTTATTCCTCATTGATTGTTTTTATGGCACATCTAAGTACCGTATAAAAGAAGTGTAATGGCGTTAATTGCTTGATACCTTCTGTGTATTCTTACGTGTTCAAAAAATCACACAAATTAATCTCGAGTGAATAATTTGTAAAATTGTCATTGGTCTGATCGAGTGTTTTGACCCTCTTTCATCTACTAATAAAGCTACTTGTGACTCAAGCGCTTTCCCATCTTTCTGGTAATGCAAGAGTAGACTTTGAACATTATGCCAAATTATAATTTCATATTAAATAAGTTTGTTTTTATAACAAGGTGATTCTGTAGAATGAACTGAATGGCGTTTCCAGAAAAACGTATCTGTCATGATCACCTCGGAATACTCACTTGAGTTTTTTAAATTTTATGCGGTTCTAGTTCTCCCTGGTTATCACTAATAGAAATATATTTGCTTATGATTGATGTGAGATTATTCTTAGTGCAAGTGTCTTATGTTGATTGGAAGAACAAGTTTCAATGATTGATCTCTGCCAACCCAATGAAATTAACTTATAATATCATTACTCTGTCCAGCTTCATTGTTTCATTGCATATTAGCGCTCTATTTTTCCTAAGAGACGGCGGTAGTTGTCATCAGACAGCTGTTTAGTTTTATCAGGCGAACAGTTGGCGAAAGGCAAGTGATTGGTTAGACAGTATTTGAGAAGAGTGGCGCTCTAAGTAACTGTCAGGACAGACAACTGGAACGTTGGAAGGAACATCTTGAAGAGGAATTTAACTGGCCTACAGCCACGCTTAACTTGTTCGGCACCCAATAGTTGCCTGAATGGGATTTAGACATGAGGTCATAAAGGCTGCCCCTGATTTCAAACGAGAGAAAACAGCAGGAATTTATGAAATTACTCCAGAGGAGTTTAAGGGAGGTGGTGACATATTGCTGTCTGCACCAAGGTATTAGGTAACGTCTGGGAATCAGAGATAGTCCCTTAGGACTGGTGTAAATAATTAATCATTTGACCATACATGAAGGTACACAAGTTTCCCTGTGACAAAGTCTCAGCACGGATACAAAAGACTCGTGTGGCGTTTGCTAACCTGCGTCATCCATGGCTTGATGTGATATCTGACTATCAGTCAAAGGAAGTGTGTACTGCTCAACAGTTCGCTCCGTCTTCCTTTGCAGGTGTGAGACATGGTCACTGAAAGTGAGGGGCTTGAGAAGGCTAGCTTTCTTTGTTTACAGGTGTCTGCGTTCTGTCTCCCATGTTAGGTGGTATAATAGGGTTAGTAATACTGAGGTTGGGCATCAATTCTTAGGTAAGGAGAGAAAGTCAATCTATGAGGTTTTGAAGCTACAACGATTGAGGTGGCTAGGACGTGTGATTAGCCATCACCTTCCTCAACGGGCAGTGTTAGCTCACATAAGATTAGGTTAAAAAAGGAGTCAGTGCTGGTGAAAAGAAAACATGGCATCATCCCATTATATTTCTTACAGTATGAGCCATGTAGGGAGGTGAAGATAGCCTGGCTGGGGTCTTCGAGATGCTAAGAATCAATGCCTGGCGACAATTGGTAATGCGGCTCAAAATCCTCAGTGGCGTAGTTGCATTCACTCTCTGTGACCTGCCATATCCAAATACCCTGTTGTTTACTCATGTTACTACATTCCTGCTCACTATTGATCTTCCAAAACTCACTCATTTGTCTTCCTTTGTGTGCTTCATGGAGTGTGACAACTGAAACTACTTCACTTATGTGCACAGTTGTTTCTTAACACCAGTCAGTCCTCATTTGTCTTACAGTACTTTTTGACCTTTTGTTTTACGGTTTTCAATGTTAATTGCCCCATATGTCGTTGCTTAATATAAATTCTACGTTCATAACGTCTGTCGACTAAGTATTCAATCTCCCAGTTCTCTTTAAGGGCTCTAAAATCTTGTCTGCAAGTATTACATATCGGGCCCTCACACTGCTGTGCTTTCAATTAGTCCTAGCTTACTTGATTTACATTATTGCTTGTCAGACACTGGGTTATTACCAACCAAATGAACTCCAGTTTATTATATTTAAACATGAATACCAAAGGGGAGTTATTTTCCCCACTTCAGGAGCACTCTATTTTCATCAGGTGCCCACTATTTCTTCTAGAAAGCTGATATCTAATTAGTTACTTAACACAGCTTTTTTGACATACGTCGCGTTCAAGCTGCCATCTTTTAGGGTTCTCACGTTGATGCAAGTCAAACAACAATGAAGTTTGGCCAGAACTCTCAACTTGCCTCATTATTGCTGTATGCTACATCTTAGAGACCAGTATATCATTTTACTGATGAGATTATGAGTGGTTTCTCCCTCTGTCGGCTCAAAAAGCACTTCACGTGCGCTTACATAGAAACTGCGTGTATAGGTGTCCAGAAAATCTGGTATAGGTGTCGGAATAAGTGCTGCAGCCAAAAGTCGACTTAAACTTCATTGACAGGTGTTTATATGTTGTCATAATAAGAAATAATGCTAGATTAAGAGGTACTGCACTTCTTTTATTTCTACATGCACACTAATGAATTAGTTTCCGCCAACAAATGAGTGACTCTAAACCAGGTGCACGCAGAAAACATCACAGAACTAGTTGAGAAATCAAGCGTACATATCGAGTGTCTGTACTCAGAAGAAGGTTGTTTAAGTGGTCGTTTCGGGCTAAATGATCACAGGGACTGTATTCTGGAGCTTTGAAGAGATGTCAACCTATTTTCAACCGGCAGGGAAATTCTTCACGGCCATAATTATTGAGCTACCTGGCGTCCTATTTGCGCTATTTAAGCTCATTAAAAAGTGTGTTATGAGAACCAGTGGTAAGTGAAATTACACCTGGGAAGGTGTGGAACTTTGGAGGGGATATCACGAAGAATAACTCAACTAGCTTGCAGCTGTACTGTAGCTGACCGCAATTTAACCCATAATTAAATGGAATATAGACATTCATCCTCTAAATGTAGCTGAAGTTTTAAAAGCTAGCTTTAATCTAAATTTAGGCAAAGAAATAGGACCTGACGATATGGATGCACTGCTATAAAAGGATGGTGATGCCGAATTAATGACCAGTTTAAGCAAGGTGCTAGTTAATTTACGGAAATACGAGTTAATGTGATCGGAGTAGTGCAGACCGTTCATCATCCAAGTTTATGAGAAGTGGTGATAGCTCTTCTTGTGACAATCGGAGGAGATCGGCCTCATTGATGGCATACCCGAGATTTTAGGTTCCATTGTCCAATTGAAACTCTGGAAAACACAAGAAAAAAGGAAGTCTTTAGGCCCAGATGAGGGTGTATTGATCATATATCCGACATGTCTTGGAACACAGGCTTAATTGCCGGAGTCCAACACTTGACATGAAAAAAGGATTTGAACCTGGTGACCGATAATTGCGTGAGGATCAATAGCTGTAGTGAAGAAACACATCGTATCAGTTAAGGCAACCTATTCGAACTCATGAAACAAATTAAGAACAGAGAGTTGTCATCTAAAGTAATGGTAACTAGTTGTATTCATCAGGGTTGCCCATTTTATCCATTTTATTTAGTTTTATTATAGATGTAGTGATGGTATGACTCTAGCTTAATTTGACATCTCACTGGCTGACTTGTTATCAGGCATCAGTTTCCCCGATGTAGGTTATGCAGCTGATAAATTGTTTCTGGATGAAAATGCTGTCAAAATTCAGTTTTCTGAACACCTTGAGTAGAAATAATAATATTTTTCATGTGATGTTCCCCTACCAAATATAAGATGATGCTGCAGGACTGGTCCTTACCGGTTGCTGGTTTAAGGGTAGGATGTAAAATGAGGTGACCATTCCATTTATTTAGGAAGTTGCATCAGCCCTGTTGCTTGACGTGTGATTCTTTTTTCTTTATTTCGTGTTTTCTATTTTGTTTCGCGATGATCCTCATTTCCTTTTAATCGCTCCACTTTTCAAGATTCTTGAAGAAGAGACCACCAACATACTACTCACAAGTTCTTGTTACTAACGCACCCCACAAATGTACTAGTTGCTGACGGAATTTCAATAAGGAAACAACAGGATCGCTAGACGATATCATCTCCGATGGCTATTCATCAAAGGACATGTGTGCTGTTTGACGATTTTTCTTGTCCTTTATGTTAGTCGGATATGACTTTGGAAAGTCGAAGATGTGGAAAGATCTCTGACTTTTCGTTCTTATTTAACACTACACCTAACTGCATTATTGATGACCATACTGCACCAACTAACACGACAAACTTAAAGCAGACGCCCATGGTCGAAAGTCAGCCGATATGGCTGTGATGCTGCATCACTTGAGAATGTTAAGGCATGTTACACAGTCCTAACCAGAAAATCTGGTGTCGGTGTCGAAGTAAGTGCTGCAGTCGAAACTCGACTTGATCCGTATTAATATTTGTTTATATGATGTTAGACTAAGACATGCTGAACTAATAGGTATCATCCATCCATCACTTCTGCTTACAGGCCATTATGCTGGACAAGAAATATAAGTTGATATATAATTAGGCGAGAAAGGATTTGTGGTTAATCATACCAAAAAACACGATACTAACCTGTGAATTTTTCGTTGTTGCCTTAATCATGTAAGCTGTAGATTGCTCCGTTGGGGTCTTTGGGATACTAGAAATTAACGACTTGAGGTTTCTGGTAGCAGAGCCTTTTGTTTAATTGTATTCACCCTATCTGGTCTTCTAGATTCATCAGGTCTTCTTTATTCTTCACAACAGTTTCTCTACTATTATGTATGCGTTTTCTAAGTGTGTAAATTGGTACACATTTGCACAAACTCCTTCGCTGATAATTCAGTTCAATGCTTTGAGTTAAATCGGTTGATAATTTTTCACAACCAGACGCAAATCATTAAAAAAAATTATCTTTTCCTATATCAAACATGGTACTGCTAATTTCTGTTAATGTTGCGCTTCAAACAATATTTGTGCTTCCTATTATAGTAAACGTATATGTTGATGACTACTTAGTTGAGTCTGTTCTATTTTTTCAGTTGTTTTTCATTGAAGCACAGTCTTACACCGTTTTCATTTCCGTTGTGGCAGAGATGTTATCATTGTTACAGGTGGTGGTACAACAAGTATAAGATGACCGAGAATGCAGGTGATCGCCTGTTTAGGAAGACTATAAACATCATACAGATGTAGCCTACTGAATAAAACCGATGCAAATTGATATTAGATTCCACCTGATTTCATATTTTCATTTTATTTCATTAAGAAAAACAATATAAACGAGTCCACAACCGTTAATGCTATACCACAAGACTTGATCTTTCTAAATTCCTCTTGTGAAGAGAAATACCAATTCGTGTCGCTCCAATGGACACCAACTAATGGCAATACCAACTGGAGTCTTATATTTATTTTACCAAAGACAATGGAAGGTATACTTTAGACTCAGTGAAACTTACATTTACCCTCAATAATTCAGGTAATTATTGTTTCATCTACCAAGTATTTTGTTTTTACGGTATTATTTATTTGAATTAACTATTCTGTTCACTTCAGAGTATGTATTGACCTCATCACTTCTAAAGTATGGATTCTAGACTAACTAGCTGTTCAGTTGTATTATTGAAAATCAGTCTGCACGAAATATGTTCCAACAGTTTATATTTGTAAAACTAAACGAGGTGCAATTGATAAACCTCTTACTGTATACTGATTTGCTTTCATCTAGAGAATCCAGCAGTATTGTATTAAGAATGGCCATTATTTTATAAGGCTATAAATCTTTCAAATAAGTAAAATCATTTCCTATCGACGGATATTTTTGGTCGACTCTGAATGAAGTTTGGTAAATATCTAGGTTGAAACGGCATGTGAATTAGTCTATTCAAGAAGACTGTTCATACACTTATCCTTTTAGCCTAGCGCTAGAAATTTACTACAGAAAAACTTTGAACACAATGCACAGGTATTATATATTTGTCTGATTTTGTCATTTTTAGCTTAAAGAAGTATATTTAGTTCTCTTGTTGAAAATTTATTTTAATTTAGGAAACAGCAATCATTGAGTTTACTTTGTATCTTTCAAAATTTGGTTTCAACACTATTGTCTTACATAGCCTTTATTTATCTTCGCAAATGCAAATACTGATTATTTTGTTCAGCTACCGAAAATGAGGTTGCCACAGATACAACCGTGTTCAGTGTCCCCGTTGGTGCGTATTTCACATGTGACGATGAAATACATAAGGAATTATCAGGGGAAAATGGACAAGATGTGAAAGTTGATATTTATTTTAATAATTCGAGTATGGAAGCATTCAAACTTCACAACAGAGCAGAATTCGAAAGCCATGGTGAGTATGTAAAATATTTCTGTATATATCAATCAGCTATAAAATTAGAATTGTCAACAGGCACTTGACGAGTATGACCTCGTTTTCTTCATCTTAGAAAATCATTTGACTGAATAGTAAACCAGCAAATGACCTTTAGTATTCAGTTAAGCGATGGGCTTTATACTTTAGAAGTCAGCATGTCCACGAAGACTCGACTGTATGTACCCATACCACCGGTAGCCGATGAGTGTCATATATTCGTGTAGAAGCTCGAGGAGGATGCTATGTAGTAAAATAGCACTGGCTATATATAGTGGATATGGAAGATATGCAAGTGAAAAGCAACAAGCTGACAGAAGAAGCATCCAGAGAAGACAGGCCTTCAGGTGAACATAGATAAAACAGAGGTGATGAAGATTCCTGGCCAGCAGCAACAACAACAGACAACAATCAGCTGGCATAAATGGGGAGAACCTGAAAGAAACAACCTCCTTTACCTACCTGGGAAGCATCGTTTCAACTACAGGCAGACACGACTGACGAGGTTATCAAAGCCAGAATCGGAAAAGCAAGACAAGCTTTCATTACTCTTAAGTCTATGTGGAGGTCAACAGCACTAAGCATCAAAAATAAGATCCAGATTTTCATCCCCAATGTGAAGTCAGTGCTACTCACTATATGGATCAGAGACTTGGCGCGTCATATAGAGCATCTCAAACAAACTTCTGACATTCATTAAGAGTTGTCTTTGCTCAATATCACTCAAGATCAGATGGCCAGAAAGATCAGCAACAGGGATCTCTGGCAATGAGCGAACCAACATCGCAGGAACCGATTGTGAAACAAACAGGCAGGAAGAAATGGAGATGGATTGGCCATACGCTGAGGAAACCATCAAGTGAGTGACATCACTAGACAAGTCATTGGTTGAGTGGAACCCGAAAGGGAACCGGCGAGTTGGTCGTCCATGGGTGACTTGGAGGAGGTCATGTGAAGAGGAGATGAAGGCATGTGGGTAGACTTGGAGCGGGGTGAAAAAGTCGGTGATAGGATCCCACATATTTTGGTATTGACTGTTTAATCTTGCATATATGGTATGTTATCATTCTCACACATTTTGGTATTTACTGTTAATCTTGTATATATGGTATGTTATCATTCTCACACATTTTGGTATTGACTGTTAATCTTGTATATATGGTATATTATCATTCCCACACATTTTGTTATTGACTGTCAATCTCGCACATATGGTATATTATCATCTCTCACGCACTTTGTTATTGGCTATTAAGATAAATTATTTCAAATGCTGTTAGCTGTCCATATTGTTATAAAATGTATAAATACCATGGCTTTCTTTGTCGTTGTTGCACTTCAATACACAGTCACAGTCCAGCCTTTGTCTTTTGATATTTGCGTGCTTTACTAAATCGGAAGGTACGACAAGCAGATAGGCAGATTAGTTCAGGCGCAGACAGAGCAAGGTGAAAACGTTTTCATTCAATTCCCTACAGTTATAACAGTAGGCAGAAAACCGAAAGCAATGGAGACGCGCAGGTGAAGCCCTATGTTCCTCTAGGAACTAAAGGATATAATAAATAATATAAATAATAAATATATAATGGATGTATATATATCGATTTTTGTTTATTTAATATTTTAATCATGGATACAAACAATATAGTGTGTATACACCAGAGTAATACATTTAAATTGAGACTAATATCTCAGTACTTATTGGCCATACATCGTTTCTAGACTAAAGCGCTTCTTAAATGAACGTGTATTGTTTATTCACGAAGGTCATTCATTTTTGCTCTTCCTTTTCAGCCGTAGACTGTCCAGGTAGCAAACCATGGCGGTATAAAGTTGTATTGGTTGTATGCACTACATTGCTTGCCACATGTATTTTTGTATTTGTAACATATCTAATCATTCGCCGTGGAAAACAAACAACTTATGAACCAATGAAATAGTACTACAGATCCCCGAAGATATATATATATTGTCTAGAGGTGTTTTGTTACTTTCTGTTTTGTGAATTTGCCTCCTGTTTAAAAGTAGTTACTTCGGTTCCTTTTATTATGCTTTACTCTTTCATCATGAATAAAGAAAAAGTGCATATTTGCAGGATCATGTATACTGGACTAAATTTTCATTTTCACTTAATTAAACAGGTAACAAATTGTGAGAATTTCTACTCCTGATTTAAGGTTTAATATTCTATGTACATAATCCTCCACATTCCATTTTATGACTACAACAGTAGCTGACTTATACCTGTTATGCTTAATACATTCGACTTTTCTAATTATTAATGATAATATTTTGTAACTTTTGTAAATATGACGCTTTTTTTGCATACTAGCGTACGTGAAATACACATACTTACAATAAGTATATGTATATTCTGTTCTTTATTTCATTTGTGATCACTGTTAAATGGCTAAAAGATTAGGATAAAATATTCGCTTGGTTTTAATAGCGAATAGCAAATAAACATATTGTTTCTTGTATGTTAGATTATAACTGGTAAAATATACCTTTGAATATTCTCAAAGGAATATGTGAAAGATTATAAAGGTGGATTTTACAGAAAAGTACAATTTTGCCTCTTCTTTGTGTATCTATCAATTTGACCGATCCTCCAGGGCCGGTAATATAGAGCATACAATTAAGCGTGTTCATCGTCGAATTTCCGAACACCATCCGAGAGGGTTAAGCAAGGGATAAACAAGGTCCATTCGCAACCCTATATCATCTTCCGAACTATTATTATTATTATTGTTCCCGTGAGTTCCGAGTGGAACATAAGGCTTCAATAACACTTCTCTACTTTCTTCTATTTTCTGCCATCCTCTTCATCTGGGTCCACGATTGCCCAAACTCTCTCATCTCTTCTTCACACGATCTCCCCAATGGCATCCTAGGACGCCCCACTCGTCGATTCCCATTTGGATTCCACCCGAACGATTGCCTGCATTGCGCGCGATGTCATTCGACGGCCTCCTCAATGTGTGCCCGATTCATCTCCATTTTCTCCCACATATTTGTTGAGCGATCGGCTCTTCGTTGATTTATTGCCAGTCAGACTTTTTTGTTGATAACTCTTTTAGACTGACTATTTGATTTTCAGTACGGAGTCAGCGAAGTGGAAATCTGTTGATAAAAGTCTGCAGTTGGATGTTGGAAATGCTTTTGGTGACACGCAGTCCAAGTTTCTGACCAAACATGTGTTAGCAATCCGAATCTTGTTCTTTATGCTGAAGCGGAGTGCAGTACAGAAGATTTTCAAACTGGATTCAGGTTGATGAAGGCGTGAATGTCTTGCTGTTCCGATTCTGGCTTACCGGCTTTGAAATGTTCATCCGTTCCGGCTGCCTGTAGTTGAAACTATGCTGGCTTCGTAGATAAGTGAAGGCAGGAAGTAAGCTCTGTTAAATCTCTCCCATTGATGCTGATTGGTGCTGGTTGTTGTTGTTGTTGTTGATGCTGGTGCTGTGGTTGGCGGGTTATCTTCATCACCTCCGTCTTCTCTATGTTCACCTGGAGTCCTGTCTTCCCTGCATGCTTCTTTAGCCAGTTTGTTGGTTTCCGGCTGCTTGTAAGTCTTCGAGTCTGTGTGACATTAGATATAGGTCATCCACGCGCGAAATCCAGATCTTCTAGAGTCTCCTTATCGGTCGTCCAGCGTATTCCTGACTCCTCGTCCCCAAGCACAGTCTCACGCATAATCCAGTCCACCACAATTAGAAATATCATTGTGGGTGATAATAGGCAGACAGCCAGATTTTCCTACTCCTGAATTCACTTCGAACGCCTCACTGAGCTATTCGGTTGTGGATCACCTGACATGTGACAGACACTATCATATGGGCAGATTTAGAATGAGGGTAGTAAAGATTTGAGCACCTCACGCCATAGTGTTGAATTAATTTCCGAATTATTCGTGGTCAACGCTGTCTATCGAAGGCCATCTTGAAGTCTATGAATTTGAGGTAGACTGGGAGTCGATTGCCATTCTATGCTTTGTTCTGTGATGAAAAAAGCACCAAAAACCAACAACAACGCATGGAAAGTGGTATGATTTGAAAAAGTTTACTTAGAAATAAATTACCGTGAAAATAGCTTTCGTTTAATAATGGTTGAATTTCAAGGAAGCGAGATTAAAGTTCTTAACTCAGAAATTAAATTCATGGATAAATTTGCTTCATATGTGTAACTCTGATTTGCACTTGCACACCCTAAATTCTTTTCCAGTTAACACTTAATGACACACTAAAAACATGATTCATGGATAATTGATAAGAAATCAGGTATTTACAATTCTGAAGGGGAATGACAGATGCTGACTGTTCATTTTGCCCATAGATGTAGAATGCAAGTGCTTTACTTTTTGTGTGGACATTCTGTTGTTGTGTTAGTGTATTCTAAATAATTTACGAAAAGGGGTACTTTTTTCGTGCGCGTTACTTGAAATTGGGAAATGACCATTTCAGTTATATTTATTAGTTGAATTTTTGGCAATGACCCGTGGTAGGCACTTTCCTGAAACTAAGGTGCACATGCCGATATATATATATATATATATATATATATATATATATATATATATATATATATATATATATATATAGCGGCATAAATATGGTATCCTTTAGTGTGACTGAAAATGACTGATTAGTTACAAACTTATTTAGTGAGATTTGGAAGGAGGATGACAGTTTTCTGCTATAATAAAATTACAGACGAGAATGTGGTGATCAATTAGTCTATGCATAACATGATCACGTTGAAACTCAGCACAGAAACAAATATTACTGCTCTTAAACTTAAATTGTCAAACGATAAAACTAACAGCATTCACTGTGCACAAGAATAAAAGCCTACAGCTTAATTCACAAGTGAATTCGCCGAATTCAGACTTACTTGAAATATTGACAGAAAAGTTTCCAGTCAGGTGACTATATTACACGATGACTCTGTGAATGAAAGCACATAAACTCGAATCATATCAAGTGGATTTTTATTTTGTTTAGCTGAGATTATATAACATCCAGAACACTGTTTCTACCAATGAAAATGTTACATGTACACAAGGTAAACTAGAAATGATTCAATGGACAGTACTCTGAGATGATGTGGTAGTGGTACTAGACGTTTTAATCGGTAAAATAGGACAGTAAATCCCGACTGTGTTGAAATTTCTAAAGGTGAATATTTTATTGGAGTATCCGCTTTCATTTATTCAACGAAAAGTATTTCTACAGTTTTCAAAGATAAGAATTATTGAAATCTAACTAGTAGAAGGCAAACATCATAGAAATCTAAATATACAGTAATTGAGGTGCACACATTACTGTTATAAATATTTTTACAGTTGAGTAAAAAGTGCAGAATTTTGCTTTCCTGGAAGATAATTGAGAAAGATGATCACTAAGTACCTTTCAAAAGAGTGGTCGTCCTTTGAACGAAAACTTACATGACAACAAATAAGGATAATTATCAGTTTATATCTACTACCATTTGCCAAAGTTTGCCTTTAAATCTGGTAAAAAGACAATTTTTCATCTGTTTGAATGAAAATACGCCACGGAAAATGGTGCTAATATGATTGAAACAATTCTTAGGCGCATAAGCTTGAAATTCAAGTGAAAAGGAGATAATGCACATTATTGTGTGTAAAATCACAATAGCACTTCATTTTTATACTTCATTCCTCAACAGATAACTGGAACGTAATGCGTTTTAGAAGGAATTACTGCATGTTACAAGCTACTTTTTTAAGAAGTATAAGAAAACTCTATTCTTATTTCCAATATAATAATAATAATAATAATAATAATAATAATAATAATGGCATATGTATATTTTATCTCATCATTTGTATACAGACGTAATCATAATTCCACTTAAATTGAAACTTTACTTTTCCTGAGGTAGTAATCAAGCTTGCTGTCAGTTTTATTCTACAATAATTTTTTTTATTTCTTATCAACAGACAGGTTTATCGAATAACACAAGCTGATTTCATTCGATCGTATACTTTGTTTATTTGTGTTCAAATGAACTATTATTATTATTATTATTATTACAAGTTGTCTATCAAACAAGTGGATTCCTTGCAAAAGTATTTTCGAGAAAGTATGAGAATATAACATGCATACAACAGGGATTTTAATTAATTCTTGATCTATGCAAGTACTATTGTTCTCCACTTTAGAGTGATTTCGAAAATTAAGCTACTGACTAATTATAACAATTCTCAAGAGGAGAAAAATCGAAATATGTGAAACAAACTAGTGTTCTAGAATTCGAAAATTTGAAAAAGAAAAAACCCAGTAAGTTTTCATATTTGCATGGAATACTGAGTATTATACCTGAGTCCTTAGGTAGCTGACTGCCACATAAAGAGGTGATTTTGCCTCATAACAAACAAATTTACCATAGAATTAAAAACTGACGAATAACAGCGGATAAAATTAATTCCTCTGAAGCTGGATCTATATGGTACAAAAGTGCTTCATCAGAATAAATTGTGTTAGTGAGTGCAACGTATGTTGTGAGACAAAAACATGCCGTATATGGAGACTTGAAGTCTTAAAGAACATTTCTAACTCAAGTTCTCACAATTACATAAACAAGAAGTAATCTGTAAGAAATACAAATAGTTGGTGTAGTCAGTTCAAAGTTCTGAACAATACACCCATATACATTTGCATAGCACCTTGTAAGAAGCTTTCAGAAGAATTAGTCGTCAAAAGACGTCAAATCAATTGTAACGGGCTATGCCTAAACTAACTACTCATAACTGATGTCTTTCAAAAATTATTAACAAATGGTAATTAGCACACTCAACCAAATGTTGTAAATTATTGATATTTTGTTAATTGCCAAAATTTACCTACATAAAAAGTCCCCGTGACAGAAATACGTTTTAACCTATTGTTGTGTTGCATCATTTTGTAGTTTTAGT